TGCCCGCAGTGCCGTAGCGTCGGACCAGGCGGACATCTCCTGATGCGCCAAAAACCTGCGCTGAAATTGGCCCCAGTCCCCGCCTTCCGCCTTGAAGGCTGACAACGTGGGAAGGCGCTGTTGAAAGATGAAGTCGTCCTCCTCCTCGTGCTTCCTCTCCGCCGCCCCGTTGGTGTGTAAGATGGCGGCCCCAGTGGCGGGTGTTTGATGGCGGTCCGCAGCGCGCGTTGGTGACGTAAGCGGGCGCGCTTGGAGAACCGCTGCCACGTGGTGATGGCCGTTCCCGCCAAAAGTCGGCGCAGATGAAATGACGGGAATCGCCAAGTCATTTTGGCGGGAATCTGCGGGGCGACCCTGTAGAACGTCCGCCGCCGTCCCCGCTCCTCCCGACGAGCTGATCTCCGCCAGGATGGACGCGGCGGCGAGCAGCAGCTCCGCCAGGCGGGAGTGCACCTCGCGGAGCACGGCGTCGGTCCCCCGTCGCTCGTCCGGCGCCGTCGGCGGATCCTGCAGCGTGGGCAATTCCTCGTCCTCACCCCCCGATGCCAGCTGGCCCGAGTCGTCGAGGTTGTCCCCGCGGTCAATCCCGTGGGTCCGACGGGTCTTCCTTGTATCCATGCTTGGAAGACCGTTTCACTTTTGACGCCAGTTGAAGTATTGGAATTGACGGCAGGAACTTCTTGACGGGTAACACACTTTTATTAAATCTTGACGTGTCACAATACAACGGGTGGTCTCTATCCTTTGGACTATACACTCCACTTAACTCGTGTAGACTCTATGCTTCTGGCTACACACAATACACTTGACTCGTGTAGACCCTATGCCTCTGGCTACACACAATACACTTGACTCGTGTAGACCCTATGCCTCTGGCTACACACAATACATTCGGCTCGTGTAGACTCTATGCCTATGGCTACACACAGTACACTCGCCTCTGGGTTACACAGAGTCCCGGTCCCGTTAGGACAGCGGGACTAGGTACCGCAGGGCCCTATGTCTTCATCCCCGTCTTCATTCTTCGCTGGTTACATACTGCCCTTACGCCTGTGTGCATCCCCTTTTATAGCCCCTGCTCACGAGAGACGGAGCTGATGCGGACGTCGACGTGAGCATCGCTCCTTAGTGAACCAATCACGACGCACTCTCTCTACGATCCGTTTTCCCCAGCGCGTGTTAACACTACTCCACCAATCACACCGCGCTGCCACCCGGTCACTCCCTCTCAGCGCGTCACCGGCCCACAGCCAATCAGTACCCCGTAACCCACGACCCCGCGCTGACCCCTGATCCTCCACCGTCAGCGCGTGTCACCACATACACAGCCAATCATTACGCGCTGGCATACGATCCCTAATCCCAGCGCGTATCACCACTACATATGCACTGTCCTTGAAGTTGATTGGTCCACACCCGAGACAGCTTTCCTTAGAGCCTAGTCTCACATGGGTTGGACCAGATGATGCCAAAAGGCGCACAACTCAAAGACAACGCACCATCAGAGTATGAGAGCTCGGGGTAAGCATTTACACTATTGGAACCTCATTTGATAGTAAAAAATGTGATAATTGGTTTTTGACCCTTTTATCTGGCAACAAAACTGACACCTTCTTCTCTTCTTCTCGAGTCGGCAAGCCACGCAGCCAGCCTTACAGCCACTTGAGCGTACAAGTGACGCTGACGAGCGTGGCTAGGACACGACTCAAGCAAGGACCCCTCTGGACCCTCGTCCCTCCGACTCCCAGCAGGGCCGTGAGAAATCGTGAGTACAGAAGAGGGGTGGTGAGGAATAGCGTGGGGGCTCCCTGAGGGCTTAGTGGGGAATAGCGTGGGGCTCCCTGAGGGCTTAGTGGGGAATAGCGTGGGGGCTCCCTGAGGGCTTAGTGGGGCATTGCGTGGGGGCTCCCTGAGGGCTTAGTGGGGGATAGCGTGGGGGCTCCCTGAGGGCTTAGTGGGGAATTGCGTGGGGGCTCCCCGAGGGCTTCATTCGAGATAGGTGAAAAGGGTTGAGAACAGCCAGGTAGGACGCTGCTCGATGGGTGGTTTTGGCTCCGGGCCACGTGGAGTTTTCGTATAGTCGACGCCGCGTGATTTCTGTAGGTATTATTTTCTCTTTATACGTGACTTTACCGAAAGAACCAAAGAGTAATTCCTGCAGTCAAGAAAGCTCCAAAATTAAGTATGTGAGGAGAAAGTCTGGGCGTGGTGTAGGTGCGCGCCTACATGTGATGATCGGCGCGAATTCAATCGTAAACGCTCGGGGATTAACGCACGTGTATTGTCATCAATAGTGCGCCGTGATACTGGGAATTAACGTGCGGATCTTACCATCATTAATTCGCCATTGCACGTGGTGCTTGTGCCGTTGCGTTTGTGTGTGGAGCTGCGCCGAGTGGTACACGGGTACGCACGTGCTTATTCATACGGCTATTTTAGTGCTTACACGGGGTGGGCAATGAACACCAACTAGACTGGGAATCGTGAAAGTTAATTAATCACAAGCCTTGGCTTGAAAAGTTGGAATGTTTGGATTAACCACCACCGTGTAGGAATATTTTCCAACATTACGGTATTAAACATCAGCTTGATGATGCAGCTCAGGAGCAAAAGGTTTTCATAATGACGAATTGGCATATTTGTGGAGTGACATCACGGATGTTACTGTGTAATGCCGCCCTAGAGAGGCACGGCATGCGACGATGTATTGACCTCGCGGTCACCACTTACATGTGAGTGCAGTACCGGCCCTAGTGGGGCTCGGTGAGCGCTGACTGACAGCGCTGGATGGTGCCACGCTCTGCGTGCAGTGCCGGCCCCTACAACTACAAGATAGGGGGTGAGAGTGCCGGCCACGGTAAGGGGTTTACTAAAGGCCGTGGCACTCTGTTTGACCCCGGAATACACGTGACCAGGTGAGTTTACACGGGGGCCCCAAGTGGGGGCTAGGGGTGGTCACGTGTCAGGGTCGACATCCTGCTCGAGGATTCTAGAATGTGGTCGTGACTCAGGGCGGAGCCAGCCACGCCGCAGAGGATGTAAGCCGGGTCCCCGAGAGAGACCAGCTGCTGTTGTTCATCCTGAAGAATCTACGTTCTACGTTCTACAGAGTCACCAAGACGTGGGCTGGGACCCAAGCTGTGGTCCGTTCCATTGTAGCTTATTATTGTGTAATTCGTGTAGTTAGCCTGGTGGTCCACCACCATTGGTTGTTATCTTGTTAAGAAGCTGTTACCCCTTGTGTTGGTGTTAATAAATGTGTTGCCTCCAAAGAGTACGTCTGCGACCCAGTTGAACCCACTACATTTGTATTAACAATGACTGTCACACGCCTTTGTCTTCCCAGTGGCAATCTTAACATGCCAGCCAGGTATTCATATTTAGACTGAGTCGACCTAAGGAGGGAATCAAAACCAGAGTAGATAACCGCGACTGTTTTTATTAAGGGAGAATCTAACTCGGTAATCCAGCCACTGCAGAAAGGACACAAATATAAAACCCAGAGAGAGAGAGAGATGGGGGAAAGGAGGTCATTCGCATGCCACATGGATAATATATATGCCATTTCACAATAAACACATGGCCACAAATACACACCACTCCCGGGGGTCAGCATCGACGAGTCAAAAATACATTCCAATGGGCAATTAAGAACATCTGCGTCCACACAAAGCCTTGGGATGACCTCCGGAGGACGGGGAGAAGTATGGCCGAGGTGACAACCACTGGCATCAGGACATGCCCCTCTCAGTGAGGACACACCACCACAGTGAGTAAATCTGGCTCTAATACAAGCCAGTGCCTCCCCAGCCATTGACCTCACAGCACGTTACTGCTAAATATCACCACTAAGGGAGATGAAGGCGGTTGGGCGTGGTGCTGCTGGCCACCCACCCCCTCGTGTGCCACAGTGCCGGCCTTCATAGGCGCTGCTACTTCTCGCTACTAACAGCCACTTGCCCCCGGCAGTCTGTTACAGGCTACACGGGGGATCTTTGTCTTTCTTGTTTGTGCGCGCGCGTGTTGACTGTGACGTCACACGTGGGAGGTCTGGACCAAGTTGGACATGGAGGAGCACGTGACCCGAGTAACGTTTAAAAGGGGAGACGGGGGAGAGGATTCCAGTGACTCGGTGACCAACGCTGAGCACCGACAACCTGCGATTAGCAGGACGCTCAGCTTGCGACGTACGGTGGTGTGAAAGAAAATGCAACTTACCGTATGTGAAGTATCGGAATGACGGCAGGAAACCTCTTGACGGGTAGCACACTTTTTATTAAACCTTGACTTGTCACGATACAACGTGTGGTCACTATTCCTCACACTACACACACTTCACTGACACGTGTGGTCACTACCTCTCCCACTACACACTCCACTGACACGTGTAGTGACTATGGCTCACGCTGCATGCTCACACTACACTCCAGCCCCGTAACGTCCGTGGAGCCTACAGACCCACCCCAGCTTGGGCGTGGGTCACAACCTCTGGGTCCCGAGAGCCGGCCCTCACACGGACGTTCGGCCCCGGGTCCCAGGGTCCCGCCTCTGGGTCACACAGAGCCCCGGCCCTTACAAGGACAGCGGGACTAGGTGCCGCAGGGCCCTATCTCTTCCTCCACCGTCTTCAGTCTTCGCTGGTCACCAACTCCCCGAGCGCCCGCGCGCACCGCCTTATATAGCCCTCTTGCGGACCGCGATGTGAGCGCCCACTAGTCGACCAATCACGGCGCGCTGTTCCTACGATCCGTTTTCCCAGCGCGTGTTACCACTACACAACCAATCGCCCCGCGCTGCCACACGATCACTCCCTGTCAGCGCGCGTCACCAACACACAGCCAATCACCACTACATATGTATAAAGACTCACACAGAGATCCATAGGCTCATCACACCAGACCCTAAGACTAATCACACAAGTGGGAAATGGAGGAGCACGTGACCCGAGTAAAGTTTAAAAGAGGAGACGGGGGAGAGGATTCCAGTGACTCGGTGACCAACGCTGAGCACCGACAACCTCCGATTAGCTGGACGCTCAGCTGCTACGTACGGTGGTGCGAAAGAAAATTCAACTCACCGTACGTATAAAGACTCGCACAGAGATCCATAGACCCATCACACCAGACCCATAGAATCATCACACGGAGACCCATAGACTCACACAGAGACCCGTAGATTCCTCACACATAGACCCATATATTACTCACAGAGACCCATAGACTCACTCAGAGGCCATGGACTCCTCAAAAGAGACACATAGACTCACAAACAGACCCATAGACTTACATAGAGATGAGTACACTCACACAGACCCATCGACTCACACAGAGATTCATAGCCTCACACAGAGACCCACAGACTCACACATAGACCGACAGATTCACTCAGGGACCTGTAGACTCACACAGACCCATAGACGCACACAGATATCCATAGCCTCAAAACCCATAGACTCAAACGGAGACCCATATACTCATCACACATAGACTCACAGACTCACAGATAGACCCACAGACTCACACAGACACCTGTATACTCACTCAGCCCATAAACACCTCACACAGAGACCCATCGACTCAAACAGAAACCCACAGACTCATAGACTCACAAAGAGACCCGTGAACTAACATAGAGACGAGTAGACTCACACATGGACACACAGCCTCGCACAGAGACGAGGAGACTTACACATAGACCCACATTTGTGATGGGCAGGGCGCTTGTGGAAAAAGAGATACTATATAGCAGCTCATTCATACCTTACTTGGTAAAATAAAATAAAAGTTCGTGTTTAAATCCATCCTGTATACGAGGCGAGCTAGTTAACGTCTCGCCACTGCTGTCCCCAGATGTCCATCTCGGCCCTGCCGCTGCTGCTGCTGCTGGGGGTGGTGGTGGGAGCCCAGCAGGAGAGGACCATCTGCACGGGCATCAACGGGATCCCCGGACAGCCCGGAGCCCCGGGGCAGCACGGGACCCCTGGGGCTCCCGGGAGGGACGGCAGAGATGGTGAGGGGTCGGGTCCCAGAGTCCCCCCACGGTGCGCTCGTGGTGGGACGCGATCACTCGCTCGCTCGCTCACTCGTTCACTCAATTGTTCACTCGTTCAATCAATTGTTCACTTGTTTACTCACTCGTTCACTCACTCAAACGTTCAATCGCCATGTCATGTCCTCGATCGTTCACTCGCTCATTCTCGTAGGAGAGTGTCTCGTGTAGAGTGAGATGAGAGTGGAGAGGCAGGAGAGTGAGTGGAGGGGAGTGCAGTGAGATGAGAGGGGAGAGGCAGGAGAGTGCGTGGAGGGGAGTGGAGTGAGATGAGAGTGGAGAGGCAGGAGACTGCGTGGAGGGGAGTGGAGTGAGTTTGGAGGGGAGAGGCAGGAGAGTGAGTGGAGGTGAGTGGTGTGAGATGGGAGGGGAGAGGGAGGAGAGTAAGTGGAGGGGAGTAGAGTGAGATGAGAGGCAGGAGACTGCGTGGAGGGGAGTGGAATGAGTTGGGAGGGGAGAGGCAGGAGAGTGCGTGGAGGGGAGTGGAGTGAGATGAGAGGAGAGTGCGTGGAGGGGAGTACAGTGAGATGAGAATGGAGAGGCAGGAGAGTGCGTGGAGGGTAGCAGAGTGAGATGAGAGTGGAGAGGCAGGAGAGTGCGTGGAGGGGAGTATAGTGAAATGAGAGTGGACAGGCATTAAGAGTGAGTGGAGGGGAGTAGAGTGAGAGGAGAGAGGCATGAGAGTGAGTGGAGGGGAGTAGAGTGAGATGAGAGGAGAAAGGCAGGAGAGTGCGTGGAGGCGAGTGGTGTGAATTGAGAGTGGCTTGAGGAGCGGACGAGCCATGCTTTGTTCTTGTCGCAGGCGTTACCGGAGCACCCGGAGCCAAGGGAGACCTCGGGGCTCGAGGCTTGACTGGGGACCCAGGTGGGATTGTGACACTGACTCGTGTGCTCCTAGCAGCTGATTCTATGTATTTATTTTATTACCAAGTAATCCTCACTGAGCTATGCGTAGTGGCGTAACGCGCGCAGGGTTTGCAAACAGCAGTTGCATTCATGTACGGGGTTGTAAACAGTGAGGTCAGCTTAGGACGAGCAGGTGCAGGCGGGTGGCCTGGGAGACAGCAGACAGAGAGACGCCAGCAATTAGGGAACGAGGCAGTGATTGGCTGGCTGCAAATGCCAACGCGGGGTAGGTGCCAAGGAGGCGAGAGATAGTGGCGATGAGGGTGAGAACACGTGCAAGAGACGCCATCTTAATGAGGGTCATCTGAGGGCACTTAATGAGAAGGGGGATATAAGGGGAACGTGTAAAGCAACGGGGTTGAGTTGGTTGGAAATGAAGCAGTGAACAGGATTCAAGAGAAGTCCGGGACCTTGCCCTCCACACCTCGTCCTCCCAGAGGTGATGGCTGATCCCCCGCTGGGGGCACGGGTGAGACACGCTAGCAGTGGAGAGGCTAGCGGAATCTTGCTTCTGAGTGTGAGAGGCTATAGCGGTGAGAAGAGTCCGTGACAGGCTAGGAGAGCGGGGAGTAACAGGCTAGCGGAGGAAGAAAGAAAGAGTTTGTGACATGAGTACTTGGTGTTGAACGTGAGGAGCATCCGTGTGGGATGCTGCGAATAAAGTAACTCAGGAGAAAAAGACGAAGTTTTCCGCGTGAATAAACACCACGCGACATATGTAACTCTTGTGGACTCATCATCACGTGGACATTTATTCAGCCAAATACATGTCTGCATGTGGAGGGTAGAAAATTGGAGGACCCGGTGAAAAACTCCACACAACAACGGGGAGAGACGCATGCAAACTCCAAATAAACAGCTGACGTCAGGAATGCGATCGTGCACACGACCTCCTGTAAACCAGGCGAGGTAGTTAATATCTCGCCACCGACAGTCTGCATGTGCCCCGAAGCGATTCATCACTTCTCTTATTGTTTTTAACGTGAAGTTAAAAGACACCAGAAGCGGCCAAGCAACTCAATATAATTGAGGTAGGAAATAACCGAGCTCACTGATCTATTTATTTCACTGCGGTTGCTATGAGATGTTAACTCCCCCGTCTGGTCCACAAGAGGTCGTGGGTTCGAACCAGAGGTCGCAATCAGGTACCCGATACCCGTACCCTACCCGATACCCGGCTACCCGTACCCGGTCGGGTACGGGTACGGGTACCCGTTTGCGACCCTGGTGCGGCTGGGCACGGGTAGACCGTGAGTCACTGGTGAGTAACCGTTTGTCACTCATTTCGGGTAGGGTTTGGGTACAGGTAGGGAACGGGTACCCGTACCCGGCCCATTTGCGATCCTGGTGTGACCGGGTACGGGTACGGGTAAGGAATCAAAACCTGTTTGCGACCTCTGGTTCGAACCCAACCCTGACGATGCCTGATGTATATTCGGTGTTTGCATGTTCTCCCCGTGGTCGTGTGGATTTTCTTCAGGTACTCTGGTTTTCCCTTCCACGTTGAGACTTTAGAGTATACCAGCCACTTCATTGTCGACAGGCTGGTCGCTTCTAAAAAAATAGCAACACAACAGCTTAGTGGACCTTACACCTGGTAAAATAACAAATAGTTGAGTTCCTAGTTTAGTCTTTGGGTCTCTATGTATCTCCATGTTTTGGAAATTAGAGCTCACTAGGTATACCGTGAAAAGCTGTAACATCACCCCATGTTCTGGAAAATATACCTCATTAGGTACACCGTGTATAGCCAGAACATGACCCCCATATTCTGGAAAACAGAACTCACTCGGTACACCGTGTAGAGCTGAAACACGCGTTCCATACAGCCACGTCGGACAAGGTTTTCCTGTTACAAAACAAAAACGTTTGTCACAGGACTCGACTCAATTGTGCAGGTTTGGCTCACCATCATCAACATTGATGCAGAATTGCTCCATCTCTTCATTTGAGAGTAGGGATAAACACACAAAATCAAAGAACCCCCGTAAATTTTGGATTCGAAGTTTTTGTGACTGCAAGGATCCATACTCTTGGTTATTTCGGTAAAGTCACGTAGGTAAGTTAAATAAAATAAAAAATAAAATATAAATTAATTAAAAACTGTTCTGGAATGTGCTGTTAGTGAGCATCTATGAGGGCCGTCACGCCTTTGTCTCCCAAGTGGCGTTGTTAACACATCGTACTTGGTAATCATTTGAGACTGAGTCGACGTTGGGAAGAATTCCCAGGACCGGCTCAGATAATCGTCACTTGTGTTGACCATGTGCGGGAATCGAACTTGGGTCTCTGCCGGGTTAATAGCGCTAACCGCTACACTACCGTGGGGTGACACATGCACACGCCGTGTGTTTGGACCCTGTTGTCCGCCTAGGTCTGCCTGGAAAGCTGGGCCCTCTTGGCCAACCGGGGCGCGCGGGGACTCCAGGAGTCCCAGGTGAGCAGGGCGAAAGAGGCGAGAAAGGCGAGCGGGGAGAGAGCGGCGTGGGGCCCAGGTCGGCCTTCTCCGCGAAGGTCGGCGCTTACACGCCGGCGGCCGGCTCCCCCATGAAGTTCAACGTCATCATCACCAACCCGCAGGGCCACTACAACCCCGGCACGGGGAAGTTCACCTGCGCCCACCCAGGCGTTTACTATTTCACGCTGTACATGCATGCCCATGAAAAGCACCTCGTGGTTATGATAATGAAAAACGGGAATTTAATCTCTAAAGTGACCGGTGAAAAATTATACCCAATAAGTGCCAGCGTCGTGCTGAGTCTCAAAGCCGCTGACGAGGTGTGGCTGGAGATGGAGGCTCCGTACATTCACTTGTTCATCAACATACACAAAGATGCAGTGTTCAGCGGCTTTTTCCTGTACCCTGAGTGAATAGTTTTTGTATCCATCGCCACATCTGTGAAGACAGATTGGGAACACATTCACATGGATGTGCATGCACCCCCCCCCCCCCGTGTTAAACAGAGCTTTTGGGCAATATCTCAAATATGCTCGGCTTGCCCAAAGCTCTGTTAATGACTGCTAATTTTCGGATGTGATATTTTCTCACCAGAGGAAAAATAGGCCCAGCACTTTTTCTCAGCCACATCTCTCCTTCATCATTAGCCTCCTTTGCCAGTATCAAAATATAAGAATCGGGTTTTTCTCCTTTTTTCTGGCAACAAACCTGAAACATTTTTGCTGTACGCTTTTTGTCGTCCTCTGGTCTAGCAGCAATTGAGACGTGGCTCAAAAGAAAGCGGTCTCTCTTGTGGACCAATCAGTTTCAAGGACAATGCAAAATTATCAGTGTTTTTTGTTTGCATTTTGATCACAAGTTTTGTGGTTAAAGCAGACATGATTCCTTGTAAAAAGGTTTCAGTTTTGTTGCCAGAAAAAAGGGTAAAATCCCTATTATTATATTTTGGTACTGGCAAAGGGGGTCTAATGATGTAGATACTTACCCTGAGCCCTTACTACTTGATATTGCATTGCTTTTGAGCTGTACGCATTTTGGCGTAATTTTGTCTAGCACCAATTGAGGCGAGACTCAAAAGAAAGCCGTCTCTGGTCGAGCACAATCAGTTTCAAGGACAATGCATCTATTATCAGTGTGTATTTTTTTTGCATTTAACTACAAGTATTATGGTGAATGCAGACATGATTCGAAATTAATAATCTAATACAGTTATAGTATTCTTGGAAATCTTCATTATAAGTCACACGCATCATTAAACCGAACACATATGTTTCTTCGGTTAATCCGAAATCCACGCCATCACCTCTACAGTAAAGTATTTGCCATACCGTTACAACAGTGGGGCAGAGGTTTATTGATGTTGATGGGCTGTGGCTCTGCTATCATTCACTCAGAAGCCGAGTCTTCTGCTGCTGGATAGTGTTATCATCCCTGAGCATGCTCATCATCGATCGGACGATCGTTAAGTAATTTGTTCTAAATCAAAAGACAAATTAATCTAAATCGTCAGTTGTGCTTCATTTTGAGTGATTTATCCAATCATTAATTTTGTGAGTTTTAATTTACGGAACTAAATTGTCTTAACATAACCATAATTTATACCTATGTAGTGACATCGCGGGATGTCACTGTACAGTGCCGGCCCTAGAAAGGCACGGCGTGCGATGTAACGACATCGCGGATACAACTATGATGTGGGTGTAGTACCGGCCCTAGAGGAGCTCAGTGAGTGCTGGTTGATAGCGCTGGATGGCATCACGCTTGGCGTGCAGTGCCAGCCCTACAGGACAGGGTGTAGGAGTGCCGGCCATAGGAATGAGGTTACTAAAAGCCATGGCACTCTGGTTGACCCGAGAGGACACGTGACCAGTTAAATCTACAAAGGTGCCCCAAGTGGGGGCTAGGGGTGGTCACGTGGTCGGGGTCCAGATCCTGCTCGAGGATTCTGGAAGGTGGGCGTGGCCAAGGGAGGAGCCAGCCACACCGCAGAAGATATCAGCCGGGTCCCCCAGAGGGACCGGCGTTGTTGTTCATCCTGAAGAAACCTTCGTCTACATTCTACCGAGTCTCCAACACGTGGACCTGGACCCGAGCTGTGGTCCGGTCCATAGTAGCACGTTATAGTGGTTCCTCGGTATATGTCGTTAATTCGTTTCAAAAGGTAGGACTTATACTGAAAATGACATTTTCCAAACAAATTTTCCCATAAGAAATAAAGGGAAAGGAAATAATCCGTTCCAGAGTGTAAAAAAATATATTTTATATGGCATATTATACATTAATGGGGTTGTATAAAATAAATTAGACACTACTTATTATTAAAATGCATACATAAATTAAAATGAAAAAAAAACACTTGAAAATCCACAGAGTTATAGCAAGGGTTGTGCACTGAACGAGATCTACTGTACAGGCAGACTGAGGAGCGTCGCTTTGTTTCAGTCGTGAACGGGGTCTATGCGGGGACGCGGTGACTCATCCCGACCCATGCAAGTTCTAGCAAACGCGTCGTATCCCAAGCAAGACGTCGTATCCCAAGACATTTTTTTCTCGTCAAAACACGACGTATACCAAATTCGACATATTCCTAAGCAGTCGTATACCGAAGTATCACTTGACATTGTAATTAGTGTAGTTAGCCTGGTGGTCACCACCATAGGTTGTTATTCTGTTAAGGGGCAGTTATCCCGTGTTTTGGTGTTAATAAATCTTTTGCCTCCAAAAGTACGTCTGTGACTCAGTTGAACTCAGTACACCTATGTTAGTTTTTGTTATTGAGATCGGCAGAAAAATGTATATTTTGGGATTATCTGCGATTTTGTAATTAAGCGCGGCCATTGTTCCTCGTCATTAGCGTGGATAATCTAGAGTCTGCTGCAGTATATTCTTCACACGTATTGTTTGATGCATGGCTTCTCAGTTTTAAATGTACTATTGATCAATTGATTGAATTGTTGCACCCAAAGGCGTACGTGTTCACGGAGTGAAGTAAAGGTTGTAGCCCCGTGTACTGTACAGTACAGTACTTATTCATTTAGCACTGGGGCAAGGTCTGTTTACAATAGCAATACAATGTAATAGTTTCTCTTTGGTTCTTTCGGTAAAGTTACTTTAAAAAAAGTTATTAGGTTAGCGTAAATATTATTCTAATTTGTGTAAATTATTCGTGTAAATATTGGAAGCAACATTAAATAATTCATAAGAGAGATTTTTGTTTGTGTGAGATCGCGTAAATATAAATGTATCATTAAATTAGTAAAGGTTTGTAACGTAAACAAATCGTAGTGGGTTTACTCTCCAACACACCGGTGTGCTGCACTAGTAACGATTTGACATGTTTTGTTTACGTGACAAACCTTCATAATTGGCTGTATCGGGTGGTGTTTAGCAGTTCATATTTACGCACTCTAACCCAAAAACCTCTATGTTTTCTTTTCTTTCTTATATATAAAAGTCTCCGCACGCTCGCGCTTGCGGGGGATGTGCCTCTCGGACAGTGGCCTTCACGTAGAAAAAATTTTGTCGGGCTGCACGCCCTAAGCCCCGCGGTGGGAATAGGCTATTCCGTTTTCCCATCCGTAAACTTTAAAGTCGTTTAATTAACACATTTGTTCCGTTTCTATTATTAATTATTTAGTTATTGCGCGCCATCGACTGTACCAAGTGACGCCAATTGCGTTGGGGAGGGCGAACCCTGCCAAGTCATGCGCGTTCGCTCAAGCTCACGGAGGACATTTTCTTTTGCGCGTTTTACAGGCAAGTCGTACACACATCACGCTGCGGATTTTTCTTCAGAGTGTCCTCTTCGCTCCCCCCCCAACACGATGCGTCCAGTTTATACTACAGACTCCGCAGCTAATAATATTTTACTGCTTACATAGCATTCTTCTTGCACGGCCAGGAGATGCTTCATTGCTTACCATTATGAAACAAGTTCACAGATGTTACAATAATTATGCTTGTGTGAAGATAACAACTCAGGTTCATTGTTTACCATTATGAAACAAGTTGACATGTTACAATAATCTTCTTGGTTTTTTCGGTAAAGTCACGTAGAAGGGAAGTAATAAAATAATAATGAAAAATAAAACATAATAAAATAATTCTCACGACGTTTCGGCCACAACGCAAGCAGCCGTCCTCAGGTGAAAACCAGGTCTGTCGAGGCGACAGCGTGTGTGTGTAAGTCCATGAGTCCAAAAAATGTTACAATATTTATGTTTGTGTACACAAAACTCTTTTTGGATTTTTGGGTTGCTCAATTTCCCCTTTTTTTGCTGCACTTCTATGACGCTGCCACGGTCTACTGCCAGTCTGTGATTTCAGCTTATTTCTTCAATGCATTTATATTGTTTCCATCACTCACGTCACGCTCTTTACTCATACGTAATACTGCGATACTGATAGCTGTGCCATCATCGGGGATTGCTGTGCCCGTCGATGTGTGTGTGTGTGTGAGTCCATGTGTGTGTCTTTGAGTCCATGTGGGTGTCTGTCTTTTTCGAACGGACAACGCCCCATGTGTGTACGTCAAAGTGTCTATGTGTGTGTGTTAGTCCATGTGTGTGTGTCAGTCGATCTGTGTGTGTGTACGTCGATGTGTATGTGTGTGTCAGTTCATATGTTTGTGTGTTAGTCCATATGTGTGTGTAAGTCTATACATGTGTGTGTCACTCGATGCGTGTGTGTAAGTCAATGCGTCTGTGTGTGAGTCCATATGTGTGTTAATCCATGTCTGTGTATCTGAAGTAGATGTCTGTGTGTCACAGTCCATATGTTTATGTGTGCGTAGGGCTATGTGTGTGTCAGTCTATGTATGTGTAAGTTAATGTGTGTGTGTCTTAGTCCATATGTGTGTAAGTACATATGTGTGTTTACATCAATGTGTGTTTTATTCCACGTATCGCTGTGTGCGAGTCGGTGTGTGTGTGTGTGAGTCGCTGTATGTGTGTACGTCCATATATGTGTGTGCATCTCCATGTGTGTATATCTCAAGTGGATGTCTGTGTGACAGTCCACATGTGTATGTGTGTGTACGGCAATGTGTGTGTCACTCTATGTATGTGTGTGAGTCGCTGTATGTGTGTACGTCGATATGTGTGTGTAACTCCATGTGTGCGTATCTCATGTGCATGTCTATGTGTGTGTGAGTCCATATGTGTGTGTGTGTCTGTAAGTCGATGTGTTTGTGTGTGTCAGTCCATATGTGTGTGTGTGTCTCAGTCCATGTGCGTGTATGTTAGTCGCTGTGTCTGCATGCCTCCATGTTAGTCAGTATAACTCCATTTCTTTGCATGTTTGTAGGTCCATGTGTGCGTCTTAGTCCATGCGTGTGTTTTATTGACCTGCTCAAGGCCTATGATACCATAAGTAGGCCTGCCCTCTGGGTTGTTCTTCGTGTTTTCCGACTGCCTGACCCACTGCTCACCATCCTTAAGGACCTTCATGATGGTGAGCGGCACTGCGTCAAACTATGTGGCCGTGAGTCAGAGCCATTCCCTGTACACTTTGGGGTGCAACAGGGATGTCCTCTGATTCCCACATTATTTTACATATATTTTGACCACGTAGTTCAGAGCCTTTACATGGTTAATAACATCTTTCCAATGATTACTCAGTTTGTACCCATCATCACGGTTG